GGGGGCGGAAGACGGAAAAGGGCAGAGAGCACCAAAAGACGGCATCTTCAGGCACGCGCGCTGGCCCGGGCCGACACCGGTCGCCGCCGGCCGGGCACCGCCATGGCCGGCATCGGCGGCAGCGGCTCGGTCATCAGGGTCAGTGACCGGACTGGGCGGTGGCCCTGGAACTCCATCATGCGAACCGCGCTGGCCCGGGCGTCCCAAGTGGGCCCCTCCTCGTCGGTGCTTTCCCCCCCGTCGGTGGGGCTCTCGTCGCCATCACTCGGGCTGGCGCTGCTGTCGGCCCCGGGTCCGGGGTTCTCCTCCAGCCGCGAGGGGCGGAAGGCCCCCTGGTTGGACCGGTGGCCCGACGCAAGGTCCAGCCTGGTGACGCGTGGCCCGCCTGCCCGAACGAGGGTACCCGCCCTGTAAGCGGCGGAGGTGGCGGTCGGCGTGGCAGCCGCGCCAGGCCCTGTGACGGCGACCAGGGCGGAGTTGCCGCCCGGTGGTGTGGTCGCCTGCCCAGGCAGGAGGGCTCCAGTGGCGGCAGTGGTGCCCATGGCAGCGCTCGGGGTGCTGCTGGCAGAGGCGGCAGCGGTGGTGGCCGGTCGCGGGGGAAGAAGGAGCAAGGCCGTGGCTGGCCCGGGGACGCCACGAGCCGGCGGGGCTGTGGCCGGCGGCACCGGCAGCGGCGGCCGGGCCATCATGTGTTGCTGTTGCTGCTGCTGCTGCTGCTGCTGTTGTTGTTGTTGCTGCTGCTGCTGCTGTTGCTGTTGCTGATCCCGGATTAGCCCTTCATCACGCCACGAGAGCGAAGGGGCCGAAATGAGGACGACCTTCGACCGAAGAGGGGAGCCGGCGGCGGCCGTGGCCTTGCCAGCCCGGCGGGCTGATGGTGGCCGGGGAACCGTCCGCAGGATCTCGGCCACCTCAAGGCTCGGTGCACTGCCAGCAGCACCCGAGGCAGCGGGCGCCGGGTCGGACGGGTCGACATCCAGCCGCGGGCGCTTGGCCACCGGGTGGTAGCTCTCGCGAATGAGGGTCTTCATGTGGGCGATGGCCCGGTCGAGCTCGGCCTCGGCCGCGTGAGCTGCGTCAGGGGGGGGGGGGAGGGGAGATGGTGAGCATGCAGGCCAAAGGGGGGGCAATTGGGGCCAAGATGGCCCGGCGCAATGTCACGTACACTGGCGAATGTCAGCACGAAGCTCATTCTCCACCTCGCGCTGGCGTCGGCGGAGGTCGCTTTCCTCGTCCGAGGCGTCCGAGTCCGAGGAGCAGAAGTACTCCCTGAGAGGGGGGAAGGAGGGGGAAAGGCAGGGAGAGGCCGCGTCAGAGGGTCGACAGGGGTAGCAGAGGGAAGGGGTGGCGGTGGCGGTGGTGGCGGTGGCGGTGGCGGTGGCGGTGGCGGTGGTGGCGGTGGTGGTGGTGGTGGTGTGCCAAGCCCCAGGCGAGGACGCACCGGTGCACGTGGTGCGAGCTGCGCGAGTGCCGGGAGATGATGCCAACATTCTCGAGGACACCTGTGATGTCATACACTCGGCGCTTGGACAGGCCGGACAGGCGGAAAAGCTCCCCGAAGGGGATGCGGCGCTGAGCCGAACCAAGGGGAAAGAGACACAGCCGAGGGGGGCGGGGGGCGGAGGGGCACAAGATATTCATCTGCGTCAGTCGGATGGCCGGCTGCGTGGGCCTGAGGGCGGCGAGGGGCCACGGACGGACGGACGGGCGGGCGGGCGGGCGGGCGGGCGGGCGGGCGGGCAGCCGGAGAGGCGTACCTGTTGGCGGTCGCGCTGCATGGCGATCTCCTTCAGCCGGGGCATGATGCGCCGAACCCCGCTGAAGAGCGTGGTCACCGGCTGCGACTTGCCCTTCTTCTGGGGCCCGCTGGATCCCGGGCTCGAGCAGAGGTCTTCCTGGTCGGAGTCGTGCGGCTCGGGCCCGGTGCTGGGGGGCAAGTCGACCGGGAGCATGCTCGGCAGCATGTCCGGCAGTGTGTCCGGCTGCGCGCCCGGCACCGGCGGCGGTAGCCCGAGGATCGCATCGAGCCCGGGCGAGATCGGCGACCGGCCAATGGCCACCGAGTACGTCGGGCCCGAGGGCAGGTCCCCCAAGCGCCCGGGGAACCAGCCACAGCGCTCCGGCGTCCGGAAGGCCGGGTCGATGCCAGAAAGGGGCAGAGTCCGTGGAGTGGAGAGGATGTTGACCAGGTCGGGTGTCGGGGCGCCGAGCAGCCCCTCGGCCGAGGAGGGCGGCGTCAGTGTCCCCGGCCCGGAGACGCTGAACAGCTCGGCGCCATCCTTCAGGGCCTGCACCCGGCTGGCTGGATATTGCCAGTCGGCCGGCGGCCCAGCCGGCGGGGCATGGGCGTGCGAGTGGAAGGGGTAGCCGGGCATGGTGGCGGTCGGTGTCATCGGCCGGTCCAGGGACGGTGACCCGGTGCCTGGCCGGGCCAGATGCAGGAGGCGGTCCAGAGGGGAGGCGCTGCCGGGCGTGAGGGTTACTGCTGTTGCGGTGGCGGTGGCGGTGGCGGCGGCGGCGGCGGCGGCGGCGGCCGCGGGAGCGCCCAGGGCAGTCGTGTCACTCGCGGCGGCCGTGCCACCTGCAGCGGCCGCGGCAGTCGCGGCAGCCGTGGCAGCGGCCATGGGCGAGGGTGAAGCAGCAGGGGCCCCGGCGACCGGCGTGGGAAAGTGCCCCTGCACGGGTGCGAGGCCGCCGTCCGCCAGTGGCGGCACGTCGGCGGGAGTGGCGCCGGCCGGGTCAAGCCCAGGGCCGGGCGATGCGCCACCCAGAAAAACGATGCTCGGCAGGTCCGGCGGGCTGGCCGCCGTCAGAGTGGGCGAGGGGGGCTCGGCGCCCCCGGGCTGAGGGGGCGGCTGGGCGGACATCGGGCCAGACAGGGGG